TGGATGCTGTTCCAGTGCGTCCTCACCTTCCTCGGATAGCCTTCTGCAGCACCTTCATGCCCGCCAGGCGGCAGGACTGCCCCTCCAACCGTCTGTCCTTAAAGATGGCGCCCTCTGAGTGCACTTCGCCGAACATTCCGTAGGCATCCTGCACGAGGAGGCAGACTCTACAAAAAAGCATTCACAGTTGTTCTTTCCTGGAACAGTCTTTGATTCAACACAGAGATCAGGACAAATGAAGTTGAATTCAAACATGCACTTTCTAGATTTGTACACGCAGGCGTTTGTTTGATCACTGTTTGTAAACTATAGAGACAGAATTCGCTTTTGGCATAAAACTAAATTCTAAGCAGAATGAGGTTTAAAAGCACACGAAGAAGGTCATCCTTTCAAATCAAACATATTACTGTTGCCCATGTATTATGGATAATTAGAGCAGTCTCATATATTGTCTATTTAATTCTTCAGCTGAGGAAAGTGGGCATTATCACCTCCATTTGATAGATGAGGAAAGTGAGGGTCAGTGTGTTAAATGACTAGCCAGTAAGCAGGTCGCAAAATCAGGTCTTAAACTGGAGGCCCCTGATTTTGACATTTTTTTTGTGCCATAGCATCACATTACAGTAACAAGTTACAAGGATGCAGAAGAGTGACCAGTTTAGCCTAGTGGGACCTGAGAGAGCACCCCAGAGCAAGAAGCATTCCAGTCTCCAAGGGAAGCACCAAGCGGCAACAAGGAATGAACCAACGGCAAACTGCATAATGACCATAAAATCTGAATATCGAAATCTAATCTATAGAGAGGTCAGGATTTGTTCCAGCACTAGGCCAAACTATCCTATATGATAAAAGGCTAATATGCAAATTGACCGAACAGTGGAAAGACCGGTTGCTATGACACACACTGACCACCAGGGGTAGACACTCAATGCAGGAGCTGCCCCCTGGTGGTCAGTGCACTCCCACAGGGAGAGCGCCGCTCAGCCAGAAGCTAGGTTCACGGCTGGTGAGCTCAGTGGTGGTGGCGGGAGCCTTTCCCACCTCTGTGGCAGCACTACGGATGTCCAACTGATGGTTTAGGCTGCTCCCTTAAGCCATCAGTTGGACATCCTACAAGGGCTCCAGAACTGCGAGAGGGCGCAGGCAAGGCTGAGGGACCTCCCCCAAGTGCCTGAATTTCATGCACTAGGCCTCTAGTCCTATATAATAAAGAGCTAATATGCTAATTAGACTGGACAGCGGAACGACCTTCTGGAACAGCCAGTGGGTGGGGAGCGGGGCCACGAGGCAGCTGGAACTGCAAGGCCCGAGGCAGCTGGGGCTACGAGGGCCTACCCTTGCATGAATTTCATGCATCGGGCCTCTAGCTTAAAATATAGTTATATATAAATTGTAAATAGTCAATAATGAGGCCACTTATCTAGAAGAACTTCACCCACTCTATAACTTTCAAAAGATACTTTTAAATGTTCAACAAGAATATCAGAGTAGTAAGGTCAGAATGTAAGTGATTTATGCTAAATTATAAAAAAAAATAGGCTTTTAATGTCCCTTGAAAACAATTTAATTGGCCTATAAACTTTTCATACAAAATAAGCAAAGACTGTATAATTTAATCAGAGACCCAAGTGGGAAAGAACAAAGAAGTGTAATAGAGGTAGGGAGGCATAGCATAGAAGGTTGCAGAGCCATGAGATAAGTTTCACAAGATTCTTAATAACAATGGCACTTACGGATTTGTCACTGTGCTCTAAAGCAGTACCCTGGCCTTTTGGGTGTGTCTAGTGAATCTACGATCCATCTATTATGTGTTAAGTACAGTAGAACTGCCACTTGCATAGGCCTTCAGCGAGGTCTAGGTATGTGCTAATGAGCAATCCTGCCCTCTGTACCTCTACAGGAAAAGAATGAACACAGATAAATATGCAATCACAAGTCGTGGTGGTGTGAGGAAGGAAATAAGCGGAGTGCCTTGAGAAACAACACTGGGGTGGGATAGTCTATCCAGGGTGGTCAGGGAAGTTTTCTTAAAAGAGGGTGACCTTTAAGTTGAGTCCTGAAGAAAGAGAAGCCAATTATTAAGCAAACGGTTGAGAAAAAGCATTTACAACAGAGAAACCCTGTGATAGGAGAGAGCTCTTCCATGTTTGAGAAATTGAAAGAAGGTTAGATAAGGTAGGGAAAATGGTAGTAAGATAAAGGACTAATATTTGGGGATTTCTTAATTAATTTATTAATTTAAACTTAATTTTTGTTGATTTCAGAGAGGAAGGGAAAGGGAGAGAGATAGAAACATCAATGATGAGAGAGAATCATTGATTGGCTGCCTCCTGAACATCCTTCTGGGGATCGAGCCCACAACCCTGGCATACACCCGGACGGAAGGCGACCTCTTGGTTCATGGGTTGGTTGACACTCAACCACTGAGCCACACCAGCCAGGCTATTGTTCTTAATTTAAAATAAAAATTATATTTCTGAAAGAAAATTGAAATTTCAACAAGCATTTGTAAAGAAGGAAGAAAAAGGGATGGGGAGGGAAGAGACTGGTTGTGGGCAGCAATCGAGAGGCATCTTGGTGGAGCGAGTCTCATGGTTGGGCGTGACTGGCATCTACTGATGTTCAACTGTGTGGGGGGTGAGAGCGGTAAAGGCCATGGTGAAAGGCCTGTGTAAGGAGGTGGACCTGACCAGGGCACCAGCAGTGGTAAATAACCAGCATCTGTGCCAGTCAGCACTGACCTCCTGGTGCCAAAGAATCAACAATGGGGTGACACTAAAAAGTTAGATAATATTTTTCTTTCAGAAATGTAACTCTTAGGACAAGGTAGAGGATGTTATGTTAAATTTCAACATATATTAAAAATTGGGTGATTTTACATAAAATTCAAATTTCCCACTGTTTTAAGAAACCTGGGTTCTAGGAGCACCAGGCCAACACCCCATGGATGAAGCGCCAGTTTGTTAATTCATCCCGTGGGCCCTCGCCCCATCCTCTGATCGCAGCCCTCACACAACTCCATCCTCTGGGCCTCTGTCGGCATGCAAGCACACACTGGAAACACTTCCAGGTCTCTGTTGGCATGCACGCATGTGTTGGAAACATTTGAAGGCACGACGGAAGAACATGGTCATGGATGATGCATGAGGGACAGGAAGAGTCCATGCTGGCCTAAGATTTCTAGGAGCTACATGGCAGTGGAGAATCAAGAAGAGCTTGAGGGCAGGAAGCCCAGATGTGGAGCTCATTTCAGAGATCACAGAAGCCGTGGAATCCAAAGGCTGGTCAAGCGACTTGAGCCGGGAAGCAGGCGAAGACGGAGGTGATTAACACGGAACATGGAAGTCCAAGCTGGCCAGCGGAGGATGGGACTCAAAGCAGGTGGCAGAAACGACGTAGGTGTGGAGAGGCGGGTGTCCAGCCCCGCTGCCACCACTGACAAACTGCGGCAGCTCTGGCCGACACTCCTCTCTCCTGCACGACAGGGGGTGATTCTCTGGAGGCCTTTTCCATTATTCTAATCTAAGGAAGATTAGATAATCACCTATCTATACAGGAGGCTGGAGTTCAGACACTAGAGGTCCCTGAGCAGACAGTGTAACAGCATTGTGGCCATGCTCAGCAGGACAACCATTTCAAACAAGCACTGTCCTTAAAGAACTTGGAAATATTGTGAACTTAGCTGCTAGCCAAGCCACGTGAAGGCTAGAATTGGCATTTTAAAGTTATGTGATGAGTCAGTGTTCATAAAATTAAGCTCCCACTTTGGAAAGCAGAATAGCCATTGGACAAGGTGAAGTGTACATTCGGTTAATAGCAACTCTCCACTGCCAGTGACAGGCAAGCTAGGACTCAGGCTGCAGGCGGCGTTCCAAACTCCCTGCAGCACCGAGCACTGTGGGTGGGACCCTGTGCCTCGTGCGGGAGGCACGCTGCTGCTTTTAGACGTGATTCGCTTAGATAAACGCTAGAACAGCAACGAGAAATGTCCTCTCGAGAGGAAGTAGGTGTCAGTGGTTAGAGTAAGAGCCTCATAACTGCATTCACTCCATGAGACAGAGTTTGCCATTCAAAATTCTTGGAATAACAGTTTGGCAAGTGAATGCCACTTCTTTAAGATCAATGTTGCACGCCTGCCTACAACACACACCCTCAACCAAATAAAACCCCCTCCCCTTTTCCTGATTTTTGGCATCTGGTGCAGGGAAAGGCAGCCGGCAGGAGAGGCGCTGTTTTGGGCTCTGCTGCTGAGGGATGTAGGCTCCTGGCGACCCGGAGACTGTACCAGCCAGAGCACTTTAAATTGCTTTGTTACAAGTGGAATTAATTGACAAGGAGATGATTTTCCCTCGTGTGCCAGCTCGCTTGCGTCCGTAATGTGTATGCACTTTATGATAGGGGCAATCTTCTTGTGTGAAGGGGCTTAGAGGAAGGTGCTGAAAGCATGCCATCCCTCACAGAAATGAAACTGCCTGGTACGTGAAACCAGCCTGTGGTTGGCCTTCCCATGTTGCCTTCCTCATTCAGCTACTGCGATTGTGTTTGGTAGGTAAAGCGGTGAGTAATCATTAAAATACACAGTGTCTTCAGCTTGCCCCTCCTCCCAGCCAGCCAGGCCCTACCCATCCCAGCTGGGAAAATAAGGCAGCAGACAAAAAGAAATCCAAGGGCACAGCATTATAGCAGAATCCCCTCTGTGTTAGCCATTAGGAACCATTCGGCGGGACTTTGATTCTATGCATTTCTGAGCCATGAGGGTGAGGCCTGCACCATGTTGGAAGAGCTGGCTAAAGTCAGTGCCAAATGAAACTACGTTCCACAGCACATTCCCAGCACATAAAATAATACAGATAAGAGGTTCACCATTCAGTCACCGTCTTATCGTGTTGGAAGTATAAAAGTCCATTATGGAGTTAATATTTGTCTTTAAGAATGTTTTTTCTTCTCTTACCAGCTTACGATCACATCATGCTAATCATAGAATACTTTAAAAAATTCTAAAATTACATGTATTGTTAATCTGTAAAAGCAACAGAACAAAGCACAAGGATTATGAAAAGTAAAACTGTTGATTTGTAGAGGGAGTTTGAGTGAGGGTATAATTTAATCTCTTTGAAGTTTTAAAAGCTCCTCCCCAACTTTCCAAAAAATACTCATTTCCCCTTTT